GACCTTCAACATCTGGAACAAGATATAGGTTAACTGAAAACAACTACTATAACTACAGATGTTCTCAAACCATTTTCATCGTCCCAATATGGATTCCAGGACCAGAACTTAGAAATGCTGGATTTTAGGCAGCATTAAGCAGTTTCTGATGTGATACTGGTATCAGAACAACTACAGCTCTACTTAATTAGTTTCTGACTGCATTTCATAAATATCCATTCTGATTCCTTTATATATTGTATCATTGTGTACATACATATTATTATTATTATTATTATTATTATATATAGTCTATAGTAATCTTCTAAACATGACGGCATTAACATGGTATTCCTGAGAGTATAATAGGACAGTCATTAGGATTTATTTTATCTTAGTGGTTCAGAACTTTGTTAAATAATCACCTCATGCATGAAACATTTTAACATAATCTTCTATTATGTGTTCATTTTGCCTCCAGAGTTTAAGCCCTTATTCTGCAGTATTGATGTGCATTGCTGCTATTAGGATCAATAGCTCTACCTTGCCACATGTATTGTGACGTTAGAGAGCCACCATGTGGTCACTGTACAGTATGGCTACTTTTATTAGTTCATTAATACAGTGATAAATAATAAAGATAAATTTAATATGTTTCAAGACATTTTTTGCCACTTTGAGTTACATTTACTTTACATTGCTTTTAAGTCAACTCATTTAACTCCTCAGACGGTGCAGCTCAGAAATATGTGATAGAAACCTGGAAGCAGATGAGTAAACTGTGTTTATTGATACTGTGTCTTATTATTTTTTTGTCGTGTGTGAAGTCATGAAAACCACTTTCTGGAAGCTTCCTGTATTATAAAATCTGATTTGCCTGCTGTGTGAACACGGCCTTATTCTGCTCGTCCTGTTCACATCCGTACTTTTACAACTGGTTCCTTAATGCAACAATTAATGATTCACATGATGGAGTTTTCTCTTTGGTTTCATCCATTTTAGCTAAAAAATACACAAAAACCGTTCATGTGTCTTTTCCCACATTAACCTAGAATTTCTTACAGAAGATTGTGTCACTTCAGATCATCAATTAATTCACATTTAATGTATATTTTCTTATCTTCTTTGTGCTCTCTGGACT